CTATGAGTCCTAAATAAGATTGGTCAGGAGCAGATTATCAGCTCTTCACCCCACCTGAAGCCATCAAACTGATAGTACCCTTGGGCAGTGCCCGCTGGGGTTCACTACCAGCTCCCCATCTCTGTGCCACAGCGCTGACCTGCCTCCTGCCATGGGATTTACTCTGCCCCAAGACCGTGATTCAACCCACCAAGCATCCCTCTGAATGAGCCCCCTGTTCTCGGGGTCATCACAGGAGAAATCTGATCTCCCCTCTGAAGCAGCAGCTCAGAGGGCCCGAGGCGGTGGGAATCTGCTGTTCTTCACCGAAAGTGCTGTCGGTATTTGATCACTTGGAGTGTTTTGACATGGTTTGCAGTTGGATACGCTCGTCCTCAGCCTGTGAACTTATGCATGTCAATCAGGCAAGCACATGTCAGCCTCCACATCAGTGTCTAGGAGGTCTACAGCTGACAAGATAACCTTTTCATGACCAACACGTTGCTACTTCAAGGAATGGAGACAAGAATTCAGTCTGATCTCCAACAAGATAGGAGGCTATTACGCACCTTTTTACACCTGAAGAGCTTCTAACCCTTTTCTTGCCTTTCCATTGCAGGTCTTTGCCACTTTATGAAGAGGTTTTGGTTTGTTTTGGGGTTTTTCTTGTTTGTTTTGTGTTGGGTTTTTTTTAAATGAACTTTCCATGCAGATGACCAGCAGTGGAAGAAAAGACTTAGCAAACTCAAGTCACAGATTTGGACAGCTGGTGTTACCTGGGATCTTGCTCACAGACCTACCATAAAGCCAAGATACTCGTCCTCAGTGGTTTGAGCCCTATCATGTGTCACAAGACAAGAGTTTTCTAATGATGGGTGATTTTTAGTGCCCAGAAAAGCATCAGTGTAGGTGTCAAACATCTGGCAAATTATTTCACCCTGGAAAAGTGATAGGAGCAACCGAAGCTTTGGCATTTTCCCACCAAATAAACTACCCAGGATTTGTCACCTCCCGTGTCCAGTTCCAAGGAAAGAGCCTGCCTGTGGCTTCCTTGGGATGCCCTCTCCACCTTCTATATGCAGAAAGATGACCCACTGTTGTGGGGACACGAGAAACTCTCCTGCAGGTTCTCCTCACATAGGAGGTCCAGCCCACATCCCATCAGAAAGCAGCCCCCAAACACCCCATGCAGCAGAGATGGGGGAGACGGCCATGACCTGGGGGTCACACATGGGTCTCCTCACTGCCCCAGGACCTTTGCTAGGTTTGGGGATTCCTCATGCCCACACTGCAGCTGGCAAGAGCCAGCACAGCTCCACTGATTTCAGCTACATGCTGAGCCAGGCCATTCGGAGCAAGGCAAGGATCCAACCCTTCATCTGGAGGGGGTTTTCCTAGACAGCAAGGTCACATCCTTCTAGGAAGGTCGCTTGCTCCGGCTCCTATGTCTGTGCACTACAAGTCTCCAACAAATACCTGAAAATACCATCAAGATTCAAATACCCAGATGCAAGCTCAGCCAGCATTGCCCAATACCATTTTTGATTTTCACTCCAGACTGCATCTGCCACAAGCTCCTGTACAGACCATTCACAAAGAGCAAGTTAATTAACATAATATCACTCAGAGCTGGCTGCCTATCAGTATCATCTAATCAGTGTCCTCAACTGACAACTAATCTCTGACTTGATCTTTCCTTGGCCACCGAGCAATGCCTGAACAGAAGGAGCTTTGTTTTGAGTCACCAGAGACACAAAGGTCAGCTCCCAACCCGTTCCTGGCATTGCCCTTGCCTTGGAGAGCAAGGTAGAACCTGTTCTCATGTCAGACCTTGTTCTTTTCCTCCTGGCTTTGACAAGAAGGTATCATTTGTCCTAGGGAGTCGCTCCTCGGGCTGAGAGTGGGCTCAGATATGGAGCACAGTATGGCAAAGCAGCACCATGAAAGGACAGCCGATGGGGGCAAACCAAGGGACACTTGACAACCCAGCCAGCCTGACAAAAGTCATCCGCCATGCAGTGACTCCACCACCTGCAGAAGATAAGGCCCGGCCAGTTTTGCTTTGGCAGGATCCATCCACACTGTGAAATAAGGCACAAGAGAATATGAAATCCAGATGACAGGACGACCCACATCTGCTGCTGCATGGCACAATTGTAAACTGGGCTCATGTTTGGGCTGTGTCAAGCACACGAGCCAACTTCCAAAAAGAGAACAGGTTTAAAAACATGAGTTCTACTGATTTTACTAGTCAAAGATCTGCCCTCATCCACAATACCGATCCTTTCCCAGAATTATATACTATATATAATAATTTTATACATATACACACACTTACCTTGAGAAACTGCTATTATAGCGTGTCATTAGATTTTCACAAGATTTTAAAAGCAGGCAAACAGTCTGTAAGACATGGGTTTTGTGGGGGTTTTAATTTGGGGGAAGCAATTTGGTAAGTGTAAATTGGTAGTTAGGCTGATGGAAAGCCAGACTGATGTACTTAAGCATTTTTCAAACAGGAGATAGCTGTGGGTGGGGAAGACACACCTTTTATCTTTAAAAGATTTAAAAAAAAAAAACCACACTGATTTAAACATCATGTTTTGGGAAGTATTCAAGCGAGGAGAATTTTTAAGGCAATTTTAACATCTACTTTTACATTGCAGGCCCGGGTGGTGTTTACCCAGCCACTGCCTACAGCTGGATCCCTATACTACACCTCTCCCAGATCTGCCCCCTTTCTTACACACTTGATGTGTGTAAGCACATCTACACTTTCAGTCCCCAGTGACTATGAGCCTCACCCCAGCCCAGGTCCCCTCTGCTCCAATAGCACCAGCCAAGTATTTCTCCAATACCATCAAGTCCAGTGATAGAGAAGCCTCAAGTCATGATTCCCCCAGCCCGTCCACCACAAGTCCAACTCTTTTCCCTGCCGCTGTCCTGAAATAAAGCAAAACCCCAAATCAACCCAGGAAATCCAGGCTGCTCCTAGGCTGCTCTTTATTTTACAACTTGTAAAATAAAAATCACAAGATGTCTTCATACAGTCACACCATCTTAGAATGTTTTTTTTTTCTGCATGTTGGACTTAGGAAACATAGCACAAGAGCAGCAGAGCAGTGACTGATGAAGGGCAGTAAGGAAAACACTTTGTTTTGAACACCTCAGAAAATGAGCTACGAATTCCCATCCCCATTTGGTGGCATCAGCACATATTTACGTAACCTATCCACGTCAGGAGCTGTGATGAGAGCAACTCGCATTGGGAAACACCCACCCACACCTTTTAGGCAGTCCTACCACAGAGCATGGAGTTGCTCATGGTACTGCCATGAAGGGTTGGGGTTCGTAGTAGTTCTCCACCCATCAAGTGAAGGGGACACAGCACACAGGAAAAGACCAGGCTTTTTTTTTTTTTTTACCAGAGATTTTTTTATCTTTTTAATTTCAACTTGGTACGTGATTTCTGACAGTGTGTCAGCATCTCCCGCTGGGTCAGCCATCTCCAGACCCTGCTACATTCAGTGTCAGATCGTACAGGGGCGATGAGCCAGTGTTTTGAGCCTCACAGTCACTTGCATGTCTTTACGGGTCGTCACTTACATCATTGGTGAACAGCAGCACAAAAGGACACAACGCATGAAAACGAGAGTGGGGATGAGGTGAGGGCCAGATGAAGGCTCGACCCCTAAGGAGATCTTTCCCCAGGTTCCCACAGCTCCAGCAGGGATGAACCTGAGCACGGGGTGGGAAAGGCAGGGCTCTCTCTCTTTTCTCCTTTGCTCAGGGGGTGGTGATATGGGCTGCAGTGTTTTCCAGCGCCAGGACAGCAGCTCACACTGGTCTAGCACCCATATCTGGGAGCACAGGATGAGGTCGCTGGTGGAGGCAGGCTGGGCCCCGCTGTGGGTAGGAGGAGGTGATGTAGAGAAGCATGGCTGAGCCCCGATGGGCTGTGATGTCCATCAGCTCCAGCAGCGTTGTCCACCCCACACTGACCTCCCAGGCACGTCCAGCAGTGGAGACAGGACCTGGCCACCACGTTGTCCCCATCAATCTGCTGGTGAAAGAGCAGGTTTCTGGAGCCAGCTCTGCTTTGTGTTTCAACTGCACCTCAAAAGCAGTGGGGCAACCTGAGAACACCAAAAATAACCAACCCCGAAACCCAAACCTATCTCCTGAAACAAACCGATGTTCCTTCCCTGCCACTGGGCTTTTGCAACCTAAACATAACGTTTATAAAAAGTAAATTATTTCCTCTTATAACTTAAGTGCATTGAGTCTTTCCTTAAATATGGTTCACGCTGAAAATAAAGTTACTTTTGCTGTACAGTAAATTTCTGATAGACTTAGAAATAAACTTTGTTGATACAATCTGGCAGGCGTGGCCGTGCAGTAAAACACTCACAGCCACACGGCTCTGCACACACGCATGTGCGTGCCCACACACACACACATACACACAAACAGCCCCTTCCTCAGGGACGATGTTAGGGGTTTCTAGCTTTCTATATTCACATGGGAACATCTATCTTAAAAGTCCCTATGTTTAAGCAGCGAGCGCTCAAACCAGTTGAGGAAACACAGGGAAAAAAAACCAAAACCTGCAGCAACATTTTCCCTCATGTTTCCCCAAAGCATTGTCAGCTTTTCAAATTTCAAAGCCCAGCTGATCCTGCAGGCTCTCTCCATGAAGATCAGCAGCTTGCTCTTTCCGAAGGTGGTATGGAGGGGATATGGCACTGGGATGCTCCTGTGGGACACTCCCCCTCCCCCTGCCAAAACGAGAAATTTGTTTCCCTGTTTGAAATTTGAAAATCCACCAGCCAGCTGCAAAAACCACTCTTGTCCCTAATCCTAGGCTCCTAAGAGAAACATGAAACTATGCAACCCATAACTTAACTCGCTCCTTGGGAATCCCAAGCTACAACATATTTGACAGCATCCCAGCAGTGTTGCTTCTCCCTCCCTCCCAACCCCGAGGGCTCTGTAGCCCCTTTTGGGGCAGCACAGCGGCGGCAACTGCCCCGTGCCAGGGACCACGCTGCACTCAGGAAGTGAAGTAGGAGTTCTGCATGGAGTAGAGGTGGTCGATGGGGTTTCCCACTCGTGCCTGGAGTGGCCCCGCGTCCGCCGTGGCGAGGAAGCAGTCACCCAGGTTGCTCAGTGAGGTATCATCGCTATCCAAGTCGTGGAAGAGGGGCTCGGCACCTTGGGAAGCAGGGCAGAAGGGCAGAAGGGCTTCAGAGCCTGCTTTCTCCTCCGGCACCTTGGCAGTGCCTGGTACCCCCAGCTTTTGTAGAGTAAGGTATTTTTAGGGGTGAGGGGACCACCAGAAATCGCTGCATCCCCCCACACATGCCCCCATCACAGCTCAGCACCTCTCTGAGGCAGAGAAGGCAAAAGGCAAATCCTGGAGCCCTACCGTAGGGATGCATGTGGTCTCCAGGCATTTGAGGTGGGGTGAGCCCTTGCCGGAAAGGGTCGGAGCCGTAGACGCTTTGCTCCATGCCCAGCAGCTGCTGGGGCGGGGGCAGAGTGGTGTAAGGGTTCAGCATCCCCTCCAGCCCTGTGCTGCTGCCGCCGTTTGTCTGCCCTGGAAGATAGGATCAAGTCATTAGCACAGTCAGGCTGCTGCTTTTTGGGTGACCCAATAACACTGGGAAGTCTGGAGATGGCTGGGAAACAGGGAGACCCCAAGCATGGGGAGAGCTTGGGGGGTACCTGAGCTCAGGCGCTGTGTGTTTTGCTGATCCTGCTGCTGCTGCTGCTGCCTCCTGGCGAGCTTCTTCATCTGGCCGGGAAGAAGGGGGAAAAAAGGGAATGAAGCCATCCCCTGGCCAAAGCCAGGAGGGAGGGAGCCCCATCAACAGCCACTGCTGGGGGCTTACCCCTTGTACCCACCTTTGCTCGCTGGTTCTGGAACCAGACCTGCACCACCCGGACGCTCAGCCCTGTCTCTGCTGCCAGCGTCTCCCGTACCTGGGAGAGAAGAATGACAGCGGCGCCTCAGCCCACTCAGCTTTTCAGGGGGACTTTAGGAGGTGGCAGAGCACTCAGGACAAGTCCTTGCCCAGCATCCAGGACATCCATGAGGGCTGGAGGCAGCTGGGCACGGGCCCTTCTCCCCATACCTTCCTGCAGGGCTTGGAGGAGACCTCAAAGGACGCCTTGAACGCCCTCCGCTGCTGCGTGGTCAGGATTGTCCGGGGCCGCTTGGGCCGTTTGTGATCCTTCCCATCCTCAGCGCCCTTCCCCGAGGCTTGGCCCAGTTTGCAGATGCTGTCCTCATCATCACTTTTCCCTAAAGGGGGGGGAAAAAAGCAGGTCCTTAACAGACAATGGGCCACACATACCATTTCCAGCGTGTCCAAAATAATCTGGGAGATTAAAACAAGCTGGTGTTGGTGGGGATCTTCTTGTGAACGTGTACAAGAAGCTGAGGTTTGAGGCTGGCTGCCCTATGGCAGCTCAGAGAGGGGAGAGCTGCTGTCACTTGTAGTTTGTGGTTGCTCAGCCAGCAGATGGGCTTGTGGGTTCTTCTTTTCCCCAACAGTCTGAGCAGCTGCCATGTGAAACCCTGGGACAGCTGATTTTCCATCCATCAGACCCAAACCCCTGACCGCTCCTCAGGAATTTCCAGCCAGGCCACAGCTGGGGACATATCTGGAGAGAGACACAGAGGTCACATCCACGTGAGGGGACAGCAGACATCTGTGGACCACTGTGCCCCTGGGGCTGTCCCCCAGCCCAGCTGGTGACAGACATTGGGTCCCACAGCCTGGGCAGCCCAGGCTGGGGAAGGTCAGGGTGCTGGGTGAGCAGGCATGCTCAGAGGGGGCAACATGTTAGACAAGATACCCTCACAGACTCCCCCTGCTTTGCTCTACCCTGGAGGACAACTACATTTAGAGCACAGACCTTTAATCACACTTCTAAAGGACACCTTCTGCCCTACATTTCCCCCTTTTTGTGGATTTTTAAATCTCCCTAGACAGAAGTCCAAGATCCTTCAGGCTTCACCCCTCAGGTACTTGCTGTGATGTGCTGCTCCACTGCATTCCCAGGCACTGAGGTATCTCCCTGCTGCTCTCCACCACTCAGGCACAAGGAGCCTTCAGGAAAGATCTGCTCCTGGAAAGTGGACAGTGCTGCCCTGCCTCTTCCCAGCCCTCCTCGTTTACTGCATTGCCACTGTGCTGATGACCTCGCTTGTTCAGCTGGTGTGGGAGGGCTGTAACACAAGTTTGATAGCACAAGTCCTTTCCTCTCACTAGCTATAGAGCCTTTTCCAGAAAGTTCCTGCACTATTCTTTTGGGAATCGATAATGGAGCTGAGGTGCTGGTTTGATACAGATACAGGTTGCAAGGCTGTTGCTTGGCCCAAGTCCATCCCGGGGCTGCCATGGCTCTGGGAATGCACCAGGGAATGTGAGCCTGGCTCAGAGTAATTCATGGTGAAAACAGGCCAGGTCAAACCCTATGGCAAGAGCTAATCATGGATCATACATCAGAAAACTGTAAATCCAATGGCAGCCCAGTTGGGAATGCGGAAAGATGAGAGAACATTTCCAGGATGAGGGGTTGCAATGACCCCAGTGGAGCAGCAAGGATGCTCTCAGGTACCAGTTCTCTCTTCCTTCTACACCACTGGGCTCTCTCCTGGGCTCACCAGTCAATACAGAGACATTCCCTGTGGTGAGGGTTGGGAAGGATGGGACAGGGAGTGCTCTTCATGCTGGCAGTCCCCAGACAGATGGGACCTGGGTGCTGGCCCCTGCAAACCAAGGCCCTGCTGCTGCTCAAGCTCCCTGCTCACTCATGACACACCCATGGCATGCCCACAGCAGCAGGAAAGACAAACTTCTGTTTTCTTGCATGTCCCAACACCAGGGACGTAGAACTGCAGCAGGTCTGAGAGCTCCAGTGCTGGGGAGGCCCAGGGTGTGGAGTCTCTGACGGTTAATGGGGCTGAGCAGTGGCTGATCTCTGCTCCACTGGGCTGCCTGCCTTCCTGAAACCTGAAGGGGTTTAATTCTGATGGCAAGGTAGAGATTTTTACACATAATGTGAGGAGGAATGTCAACTGGTGCCTGAACCCATTGGCACCCTAGCACGAGGTGAGCACCCCACTCCCCTCCAGTCTGGGAGGGGCAGAACCCAGCATGGCAAAGCCACAGGCTCATGGACTCTATCAAGTCCATGATGCTCAAAACCCACTCCAAGGGGGAAAACATGCTCAGAGCAGCCCCTCTGAGCCCTCCCCCCGCCAACACCTGCTCCCCAAATCCCTCCGAGTGTCAAAGGGAAAGAAGGAAAAGTGAAGCCGGATTTGGCGGGGTATTACTTTTAATTAACTCTCCCTTTCAAGCCTTTCCCCACTGAGGAGGGGGGAGAAATTAATGAGTGTCTGGGGCTGCCCCTGACGTCACCTGGGAAGGGGCCGGGGCGATGGATATTGTGCGGCACGCCCTCGGTCCGACCCGCCGAGCCCACATCCCGCCGCCGGGGCCAGGACATTCCTCGCTCAGGAGGATTTAGGGAGAGGAGAAACGTTAGGACGCTTTTAATTGGAAAGCAGGGTCCTCTTTCAGAGGGGCTTGTTTACTCAGGCTGGGCGGCGGAGGCTCTGGGGAGGCAGTAATTGAAGCGAGGGTTTGGGAGATTACAGACAACATATGGCTTGCTTTTTATCTGTGCTTTCTCATAAAGTGGCCCTTGGTGCGCGGCAGCCGCGGGGAGGGAGGGTGGGGGGTTTCAAAGCAGCGAGGGGGGGACAGGGAAGGGGCTGGACAAGCACATTGCTGCTGGTGAAGGGCATCTGGGACTGGGGCCAGAGTGGGGACACCCCTCTGCATCCCCCCTCGGCATGGTAATGGGTTCCCCAGGGGAGGATGCAGCAGGAAAGGGAGAAGCCACACCACACTGAGCATGGGATGTGTACCTGGGCTGCCCCCAGCCATGCCACTGTCCCCAGAGCCACATGGGACAAACTCCTGATGCCCACCAAAAGCAGGCAGGGATGGTGGGGGGGGGGGGGGGCTAAGCTATGGGGTCTGCGGGGAGATGGGAAGGGCTGGGACCCCCCAGTCAGAGGCTGCCAGGGGATGTCAGGGGCTTTGGGTTGGGTTTCCGACCAGCCAAGGGGTTGCCATGCCCTTTTGACTCCCACGCTGGCCCTTCGCATCCCTTAGGCCTCAGCTGGAGTTTCTACTGAAATAAGTATTTCCCCTGGAGGATTTTGCTAAGTCAAAGCTCTTGGTTTGGCCGGAGCCCCTGGCAGCAGGGCTGGACCACAGGCCAATGAGTCGCTGGGGAGGAACAGCTCCCAACCTTTCCCAAACTGCCCTTTTCCCCCACTAGGAACAAACCCAAGCCATTGTGGCCAATTTACTTACTCTTGTGCATGACATCTCCTCATTGGTTCCTATTTTAACTGAAAGAGTTTGCACATCCCAGAGGAAAAAAAAATAATTCTTCAATCAGTTAAGGACTTTCCCAGGGATAAGCATGCTGGATCCTCCTGCACTCCTGCCTCTCCAGCTCCTCCAGCACTGGACCATCACTCACCAGCTTTCCCCAGCCACCTCCTCCCATGGCCTCACTCTATTTTTTAAATATCATCATTGTTATTTGGGGGGAGGATTTTTTTTCTCCTGAGCCAGCGCGTTGCAGAGCTTGGACAGAACCCACAAAAGCAGTGCTGCAAGGCAGCCAGGCTCTCACTGCAGAGGAGCACAATATTAAAGAGAAATACAGGCTTTGGGAAATTTTTGCTCCAGATCTACCAAAACCATCCCTGTCCCTTCACACACCTTCTCCCAGCTACAGCATTCCAGTGCCTGGCAGAGAGCATCAGGCTTTGTCGTGTCTATGCTTCACACCTCAACACTGCACTCCTAATTTGATTTCTACTTTTTAAATTCCAGTGGTTTGCTTTAGCAGGGAAAAGACAGCCCCCTGCCAGTTGCTGGCAGCCCTTTCCAGAGCATGGCATTTTAAAGGTAAATCCTTCCCTCTGCAAAGCAGATTTTTCCCCAGTGAGGGTTTTTAAGAGGAGCTGAGAGAACCAGGCACGGGGCTTGCCACCCTGGTGAGGAGCAGTGCTCTGTGGGGACAGCATTAACACGAGCATTTCTGCTAGCAGATCATTTCCACCCCCCTGGTCCCCAGTGCTGGGCTTTCTTACTAAATTTGTCTTCCTGGGAAACATTTGGATTTGATTTGCACTGACTGTGGATACATATTTTAATGTTGATCTGATGCTCTGGGCAACCTAAGCCGGCTGTGTCACCTTGGCTGGAGCAGGATGTCAGCCCCCTGCCCACCTCCAGCTCTGGTGCCACCTCTCCTGCAGTCCCCCTTGGCTCTGCAGTGTTCCCACAGTGTCACCATGCTGGCTCAGCAGGCTGCTTCTGGCCATCAACTGCCTGGGAAGCTGCTGGGGACACAAGATTTGCAGTTTCCCTGCTGCCAGCTCACATTTTAGCTCCGTGCCTCAGTTTCCCCTTGTTATTAAGAAGGGTGAGTGCAGCAGAAGCAGCTCACTTCTTTCACTCGGCCTTTTCAGGGTCACAGGCAAGGGCAGTGAGGCACAGGGGAGGGACACAGGTTTAGCCCAAGGTAGTCAGTGGAATGCTTGGAACTGTGATTTTTTGGGGGGAAGAAATCTCTCAGTTAGAGTGTATTTTACCAGGGGCAGTTCTTCCATTTCCCCAGGTGAGAAGGTGTGATGTCATTTCAACCAGCATGACTCTCCCTCCCACAACCGGGGAGGTTGTACACCCCTCAGGGTGAGATGCTGGTGCCCTGCACAGGTCAGGATCACAAACCCTCATAGAAATGGGCCTAATGAGATGGGATGGTCCACAGAGCACCCTCTATCCATGCAGCCCCTCTCCACTGCCAAGGTCCCCGCTCAAGCCCTTGCCACTGATGTGGGGGAGACTCTGGCTGGAGGACCCAACAGTGCTTATAGAGCTTTTCCCCTCAGACAAAAAGGCAGAAGTTCAGGGCAGCGAGCCCAAACCTCACCTCCAGACCCCACCGTGCTCGCAGGGGCCTCGGAGTGGGACCAGCCAGGGAGACGCCGGGCGCGGGCGGCCCCTTACCAGAATCCGACAGAGCCGGGCTCACCAAGCTCAGCAGCTCCCGCTCCTTCTCGTAGTCGCCCTTACAGAGGAGCTGCCCCTCCTTCAGCACAAACTCGTCGCCCTTCTGCAGGCGCCGCTCGCAGACGCAGCAGCAGAAGCAGCGCAGGTGGTAGACGCTCTTCTGGGCGCGCATCACCAGCTCGCTGGGCGCGATGGCCTCCAGGCACCCGGCACACTTCACTGCAAACAGCCTGGGGGAGCAAGAGGAGATCCCACTGTCACACACAGCTGCACGTGGGGATGCTGGGGACAAGGGAGGGGGCACCCATGGTAGGGAGATGGGCATCGGCACAGGATCGCTGTGACACACCCTCGGTGTTTGGATTGCATTGAGGGGCTGGGCACAACGGTGCTGGCACCCCTCAGTGACACGGCAACGTGCTGCAAGTGCTGCACACTTGCCCTGTGCCAGTGGGGGATGCTGCCTTTGGGTCAACTTCAGCAGTTTTGGTTGACCTGTTACCAGATGCTTACCGTGAATGCAGTCAAATGATGACAACCCCAATATCCAGATGCTCAAGATAAAAACCAAACAGGTGCCAAACCCAACAGGTAGCTCCTCCAGCTACCACCACGAGAAGACAGAACACAACACATCCACATAAGTTTTATCAAGCCAGCTCTACATGTCCACCTGCCTCCAGCCCATGCCTGGACCTAAGGAGATGCTGGAGGTGGCAGTGGGGCCAGTGAGCTCATTTGTGCCTCTCCACAAGCACCTACAGGAAGCATCTGCACTGTCAGTCACCCACAAACTACCCCATCCCTCTGGCCTGGGTCACTGGAACAGCCCCCTTCCCGCTTGCAAACACATCAGGAATGTCTAATATATCATAAAAATCTCCATGGCAGCAAGTTTGGGGTTAAGGCCAGTGACAGACTGAAGACTTGATGTGTCAAAAGGAAAAGAAAAAGCTCAGCTTGTTTCTTGACATTGATGTGACAGCGTTTGAGGCATCCCTAATTAAACTGTTCCCAGGTTTCAACACACTGGTTTTAAACTTAAAAGCCAATAATAATAACAGCAGTAACACTTTCGACTGAAACAGAGCTTTTCTTTCTTCAGCTTTAAATGTCCTTACTGAGAATGATCAATGATTTACAGTTGGGGAAACTGAGGCAAGAAAAACAGAGGTGGCAGCACCAGTGTTGGAAAGAGAAGACCTGGAAGTACCTGGAATTAACCCTGGGCTGGATATTTTAGGTGAATGGGATGTTTTACCCAATAGAGATGTTTGAAGGTATCAAACCAGAACCTCTTTGCCACCCCTAGATGCCTGAGTTCTTGGCTTGGACCCCATAAAATAAAAAAACACTGTTTACCCAGTCTTGTTCAAAATATCTGTGGGAACTGGACATTATTAGTCCCCTGTCTTGACAACTTTGGCCCAGAAAGAGAAATCAAAAGTCAGCACACATCCTGCAGAGGTTATCTCCGAGCACTGCCCGAGTCCCAGCCTGGGGATGCCCCAGGGACCCACACAGGGAGCGCTGCATCCAGTCTTCCACTGGCCCCAGATAGCTCCCACTTCCATGGTCCCCATCCCATGTGTCACCCCTGGGGGAGATGTGGAGGGGCTGGGGCTGGCTAGGGAGGGGATGGGCAGTCCTGCAGCCACCAGTGAGTTTTCAATCCTTCCTCTTCCTTTGGCCGATACAAAAAGCTTATAGGAAACATGCCAGATCAGCCCCATTCCTGCAAGAAGACAACCAGATGTAAGCAAAACCCTTGCAGGAAAACCATCAGAAAATGGGGATCATTTAAAGAAGTTTTGGTGATGAACAAAACAGGGAGATGGAAGCAGAGCAAGGCACATGTGTCCCAGAGGCAAAGGCACCTGTAACACCAGAGATGCTGAAGGCACCAGGGCACACTGACACCCACCAGCAGCGCCCAACAGCTTTTAGGGCTGGGTGCCAAGGGTTAGGAATGAGGCCTGCAAATGTACTCCATTTTATCATCATTTTCTCCTTCCCACATTCGGGTTCTCTCATGGACACTTCATGCCAACACATTGGCTATGCCTGTTCCCTCCCAGGTCTCCCCCAAACAGTGTTGGCAAGCACAGGGATACATGGTGCATCATTGTCCCCGTGCCAACCAAATCCTGGGCACACTCAACAAATTGTAGCATGCCCAAAGAAGTGGGAAAGGGGTATTATAAAGCTTTTATAAAACACTACTGTCACCACAGAAAGTGGAAATCATCAAAGAAAAGGTGGAAGTTAGGGAGTTTATAATTCCAGATATTGCCATTAGTAGCTTTTATTTTTCTACATTCAGCTTTAATTTCCAAGGTTCACATACAACTGCCTGTCTCTTAGATGTATGTATTTCCAACATCCCTATGACTGCCCTGGGAGGAGAGGGATGTATATTCCCTTGAAAGCATCCCTTCCAAAGGGTCATTTTTTTCTTATTCCAGCTCCAAGAAACACTGGCTTGTGTTAATATTTCTGTAGTCACTTCATCTTTAATTATGTCTCTTTTATGTCAAAGTGGAGGCAATTTGTATTCGTCTGGTAACACATTCTCATCTTATTTAAATGATGTTTAAGCCCTACCTGTTGGGATTACTAACTGTTCCCAGTAATAAAATATTGATAAGCTACTACATTACTGCTATCTAATCTTCATAAATGAATGTGCCCAAAATTTGTTTCCAAGGCACTTATTAGAGAGCCACAAACCTTTGCCAATCAGGCACAGCAGCACCAGCCCAGTGATGGATGTTTCCAAGTCCAAAGCATGTTGCAAAGCAGGAAGGTGTGAGTTTTAGCTAAATGGCTGCCTAATATTAAATGCATAAAGCCATTTATTTCCCAACTGCTGAGTCCCCAGCAGCTCTCTCTGAGAGGTGCCAGTCAGATCAGGCATCTTTCACTGCAGGACTTCCCCATCCCTGGGCAATGTGAGATGCAGAGAAATCCCAATAAAACCTCTTCCACAGTAGGAAACCATAAAGAGCTCCTTATAAACACACAATAAACTGAGAGCTTAGGTGAAACTGGACAGTACCAGCTACTCTACAGGGACTTGGAAACAACAGTACGCATGGATAACCCCCTGCACAGATAACCCCACAAATGGAAAACCCTACAAATGGATAACCCCATGCATAGATACTTCCATTCAGTAACAACTCCATACAGGATAACTCCAGCATGGATAACCCCTGCATACATAACCCAGCTGAAACACTCTTAGTCAACCTGAGATGGGGCCGAAGGAAAATTTTCTTCCAGTACCACATCTAGCAATTAATTTAACGTTTTAGCCTGAGCAAGACACACCAGCCTGGATCCAGAGGTTTTCCTTCATCTTTGGGATCTTCTGCTCTGTGCCCAGCTCCCTCCTGCTCCAAGCAGGCCACAGAGCAAATGCCATCTCTTCTCCCCTCTCTTTGTGCCTCACTATATCTGTGGAAGGGACTTTGAGATTACATTTCCCGACAGGAGGCTGCGCAGAAGTGAAAGAGGACAGGCTGTGCCCAGGGACTTCAACTTCAAACCAAGGGCAAATTGCTACCCTCTGAATTGCAAGGGGAGCACCTTCACTTCTGCCATCCTTGGGGTGCTGCCAGCTTTAGTTCTCAGTAGAGGGTTTTTTTCCCTCCCTAGGCTGGGGTTCCAAAGCTAAATCAGGCCTGGCTGGCAGCGGTGGGTTTGTTCAGCCAGGTGGGAAGCTGGCAGGCACAGGCCAGGGCACCAGGCAGGGAGACCTGCTCAGCACTGGGATGCTCGTGGAGACCCAGCCTGTCGCCGGCAGCTCAGTAAACGCCTCATTGAAGAGATGACAGCAAGTGTTTGTAAATGAAAAAAAACCCACTCAGCTTAGGACAAATTGGAATGAAAAAATGGTTATGTGAGCAATTTTTATCACAACATGCAGCCTTTTGTGTCTGGTCTTAAAAATGTTCCTGTTCCTGCATTGATTAATCTGCCTTTTTTTTTTCCCCCCCTAACGTTTAGGTCCCTTTTGAAATGACAATCTGCTGTTTTGAAACAGCAAGATGCTGGTGGTGGCTTTCAAGAAAACCTTGAAGCAAAATATTTGGGCATTTCCAAAAGCACAACATTTCTATGGTGTTACAGATATCCCCCCTTCCCCAAGACGCAGTCCCACTTCTCCACACCATTCCTCTTCCTCAAGACAGCAGCACCTCAGTCCTCTCCTTTAGGATCTTCCATCCACACAGCATCACTGAAACCTAGAAATGTCGAGGTGTAGCCGAAGGCACCCCTGGGGTGGTGCAACCCACGTCCCTTCCCAACGTGCCAGTGGAGCGGGTGCGGTGCGGGCAGCCCCAGTTTCCCATCGGAGCCACCACCCCCTCTTTCTCCCTTTATTTTGAGGTGACAGGCTGAAAGGGGTTGTGATTGACGGGCGCTTCCCGGCTGCTGTCTGTCTGCGTGCGCCGCATACAAACACAGCCCTGCGGAGGCTCCCCGGGGAGGGGCCGGCGGGTCAGGGACGCCGATATTAAATACTGATGGACAAACCTCAATCGCTGCGTCGAGGGTTGGCTAAGGCAGCGGGTAAGGTGAGGCAGCTCTGCTGGGAGGAGGGATGCTTTCCTCGCTGCCTGCACCAGCCTGCCCAGGGATGTGATTAGAGGCATAGGGGCAGCCCCTGTGTGACCCCACAGGCTCCCGCTGGAACGGGCACTGTTGGCACCGGTCCCTACAAAGCAGCTGCCCCGCTCACCTCCCTGCCGGGACTGCCCACAGCAGATCCGCAGGGATGCTGGGTTTTTCAATACTTCTGTGCAGAGACCTGACCAACTCATCTCCTGCTCTCACTGTGGCCCAGGAGAAGCCTGAGCGAACCCTGAACTTCAGGGCTCCGCGGGGAGTGATGACACCAGATTGAGTTGTCTTGGCACTTGGTCGTCATCTCACTCACTGTCACTTGTTGGAAGGGGGGACAGCAGCACCGAGTTCTCGACAGGCTGGCAGTGGAAAAATGCCAGTCACTGTCAACCCCGCACCCATGGCCTGAGAAAGGGACGCTGTCCTGCTGCTGCTGGGCTCACGTCACCCTGTCCCTGCTCTGGCCCCTGTGGGGTAAAAGTATGAGGCACAGAGAATGGACCGTGGCCAAGCAGGAAGGGGGATGGACGCACCCCATGTGTGGTGCCAGTGAGGGCATCCCCCAGCTGCAGCCAGGGGGTGGACCCTTGGCCCTGGC